GATAGATAGATAGATAGATAGATAGATAGATAGATAGATAGATAGATAGATGTGGTTAAAGATGCTGAGGCAGGCAGGTTCAAGACTTGAACTCTGCGCAACGGGGTGAGCGCCCATTATTTGCCCCAGTCCTGCCCACCAAGCAGTTTGAAAACATGCAAATGCAAGTAGATAAATAGGTACCACTTCGGTGGAAAGATTACAGCAATCTATGCACCTTTGGCACATAGCCATGCTGGCCAAATGACCACGGAAATTGTTTTTGGACAATGCTGGCTCCCTCAGCCAAGAAATGGATATAAGCACCGTCCCCTAGAGTCGAACACAACAGGGAAACCTTTACATATATGGATATATGTATGTATCCATGTATGTATGTATATGTATGTACATGTATGTAAAGGTTTACCTGACAGTGATGTCTGACTCTAGGGCATTTCAGTCAGCCCTCAAATCTTATTCAGCTTTTCCCAACCGGATGTCCTTCAGCTCTGCTGACTCTTCTATAAAGTGCTGCTATTCTTTTCATCTTGGGAAAGGGGGCCACATCTAAGAATAACCATCTCAAACCACAAGGATGCTCTTCTTCCCTGTTTCAGCATGTTAAGAGGAGACGCAGAGGCACAAACCTTGCATAACACTGTGGAGATCACATCTTAGATTTCTATTTCGACCCATTTCAGATATAACAAAAAGCTACATCCTTTATACTGTCTATTGTTAGAAAAATTGAGGTTTTTAATGACTATGATGTCACCAGCCTTCTTCCTTGTGGCCAATGCTTCATACTGTACCTTCTAGAAGACTATGGTTTATAGATTTGGACACATAATTCAAAGCTCTAGGTTCATAGAAGTTGTCTGATGCCCCTTCATATTATTATATGTTTCATGCCTACCCTGTATATTTTTAAAAACTAAATATGCTTGCATATGAATCCATCTACAGATTAACCAACTCTGGAATTTTTAAGCAAATTACCGTGAAAAACATACTATCCACAGATAAGCCGACCTTCAAAATGTCTGTGTGTTTTAATTTTCACAATTGCCTTAATCATAGGTAATCCATGGATTATTCATTTTTCATGGTATTTTGGTTAATAAGGGTCAGCTTATCCCCAGATGGGCTTATCTGCAAGAATATATGGGATATATGAGTGTTTTAAAAATAAGTATTACTCTTTATGCTTACAGATAAGCCCATCTGTGGAGAAGATAATGTGAATTGTTATGGTGTATTTTGACATCTAAAATTCACAGTTTATTCACAAGAATATAACTGTCAACTGTGCCACTCAGTCATCCAGCAAAGAAAGATTCCTGGCCATTTGTGGGTTTTTTTGCCAAGAATATACTTTACTGAAGCTTATGAAGCTTCACGATAAGAAGTGAAATGTTTTCAAGAAAAACTCCCCAAGAAAGTCCAGTTGCCTTTTGAAAAGCAGCTTTGGAACAAATTTCACTTCCCCATTTCCAATCATGGTTTGGCAGATTACAATTCCTTTTTACTACAATGGAGTAGAAACAAGATAGACAAACTTTTTTTTATTTTAGAAGCTGGCTTGATCTCTGTAACCACACTTCAAATAAATCACTGGGGCATTTGACAATGATTAGCCTTGGCATGGCAGTTTCTGATTTCACAGCTGTGAACATTTTTTTTAATGAAAAAAGGAGAGGAGAAGGAAGAATGGTTCAGAATGAGATAAAAATAAACGCACATTGTGTCTGGATTAAGCAACTGTGTCTCTGAACAGCTGCATTTGTTATTATTCCAAAGTGAGAGAGAAAAACACACACACACTGTTTGTGTTTCCTTTGTTTTTTTTTTTCCTTTCTTTTGTTATACTATCAGTTGAGGGAAAAATACTATTTCCAAAATATACAAATGCTGCATTCATAAAAAAAATAAAAAAAAAGGATGCAAATCTTCACCCAGTGATTTTGTGACTTGGCTATGAAAATCAATTACTCCCAGAAAGAGAAATAGATAGATAAGCAAATTTTGGGTAAAATGAAGCATTGATCAAACCCTTAGATAACTGAATGCCATCCAATTCTTCATTTACCAAATTTTGTTGAGTTAAATGGCAGAGTTTACATAGGACAACCAAAGGGAGACAAAATAAGCCAATTACACAGCAAATAAAATAAAGCAAAACAGAATGCCATATAACACTAACATTTTAAATGAACATTTTAATCAAAACCCAAAATATTCAAATAAAATACAAAAACAATGAAATGCTGTTTAGTGCAGTGTTTGCCGGTCTAGGCAATTTTAAAATATGTGGACTTCAACTTCTAGAATTCCCTAGACAGCATGCTGGCTGGGGAATTTTGGGAGATGAAGTCCACACATCTTAAAGTAACCAAGGTTGAAAAACACTGCTCTAGAGCATCGTGTCCTCTCTTCAGTCAAAATGGTCTTTTCAGGCAGATTCCCCAAGTCAAAGTTTTGGATTTGTAAGAAGGCTCTACTCTACTACAGTAGTTCCCAGCCCTGGTCTTAAAAGTTTCATGGTCCTTGCTCAAAATTGTGACCCCACCATGCTTACAAGGCTGTGGATTGGTCATTCTTTCAGGCATAAGATGGTCTATTTTATTTATTAAATTTGTAGCTTGATTTTTCCTGTAGGAATCCAAGGCAGCATTCACAGCACTTTATCATCTTATTTTTCCCCATGAAAAAACGGTGAGGTAGAATTGGCTGAGATAAACTTACAGGCTCCACATCATGAAGTGAGCCTCCATGGTTCAGGGTGACACAAATTTGAGTCTCGTATCCCTAATCTACCCGCAACCATCATCCCCAACTGGATTTCAGAAGGTACAGTGGGACAAAATAGATAAACATGTGACTATTAGATCAATAATTTGCCTTGACTGCAGGACCTCAAAGGGTTATAATTTAATTTTATCTCCCAAACCACAACTCTGTAAGTAGGCCAAGCTGAGAAAGATGGACTAGGCAAAATGTCCACAGGGAGCTTAAGACTGACCCTAGTCTTAATCCAGTATTTTATCCACTACATCATACTAACTTGTGCTTGTTCTATTCAGAAAACACAGTGATTCACAAATTAGCCGACTGTATTTTAACCCATATGGCTCACTGAGTGGTCTACTTTTCGTGCCAGAGAATTGGTTTGAATAAATCGGCGTTTCCTAACCGTAGCAGTTTGAGGATATGTGGACTTTAACTCCCAGAATTCCGCACTCAGCAAGACTATTTGTGGAATTCTGGGAGTTGCAGTTCACATATCTTAAAGTTGCTAAGGCTGGGAAACACTGGAGTAAATAAGAAGTAAATTCAAGTAAGTAGGCTGTGTCTTCTGGGGACCTGAGACAAGGATTCCGAACATATCTCTTGGCTCTATTCTGGGATATTGTGATATCACTGGGATACCACTGATAGCAAAATATGTTCACAAAGCAGAAATATCGCAAGGGCAGGGCCAAAAGGTGCCCCTTTCATCGCTTACCACACAGGGCAATGATATGACTGCTGTCTTCATGCACAAACTTCCTGGTGACAGCTTCTTCCATTATTTGCTTGACCTGAAAATGAAAAGAATGTAAAAGGTAATTCATAGGAATTGAAACTGATAGGCATAATGTTAAGTTGTACTAATTAACTAATTAATTAATTAAACAAGTTAAACTAATGCTGGATTTTCACGTAGGGTTAAACCAGTGTTTTTCAAATTTGGCCAATGTAAGGTACATGGACTCACTTGCCGAATTCCGCAATCAATATGCCAGAGCAGCATATTCAAAATTAAAGCATTTATGGATTTTACACATGCTCCCTAATTTTTGCAGGTGACAAAATAAAAGCATTTTAAAGCCTAATAAAAGACAGGTTGTTTAATTCCCTGAGTTCCTTCCCTCGAGGAAACTCAGTGGTTTGCCCACAAATTACCTCTCACTGTATCCACATAAAAATAACTCAGTGAGGTAGGTTTGGTTGGAAGAGGTAGATCAGCACAAACACAATTTGTTTCTATGGGCTATAAGTAGATGTCAATCTGGATCTCCAGATACAGCTGTATTATTTGCAAAAAATATTTTAGTCCACTTTTCATTCAAAAAAAAAAAAAACCCCATCCCAAAGTACCATGACTCACTCTCTTCCTGGCAATGACTCGCTAGGATTTTCAGCAGGATATGGCTTGTCATCATTTGCTCCAGATTCTTTTAACTGGAGATGCTAGAAATGGAATCTTCTTCAACCTCCCACACAGAAAGCCAAGAACCTGACTTATCATTAGAAGTAACATACCAAAAGCCAGTCTGGTCTAGCAGTGAAGACATAAGATTAGAAACCAGAAGGCTGTGAGTTCTAATCCTGCTTTAGGCATGAAAGCTGGCTGGGTGATTTTGGGCCATTCAACAGGAAATGGAAAATTCTAATCCTGCTTTAGGCAGCCAATCACCAGCAAATGGAGAGTTCTAGTTCCACCTTAATTCATGAAAACCCAGCTGGGTAATTTTGGCCCTGTCACTCCCTCTGAACCCATCCCACCTAAATAGGGTTGTTGTGTGGAAAATAGAAACCCTATGCCATTTGAGACAAATGGTTGTTCAATCTCTTCTTAAAAACTTCCATGTTGAAGGATCCACAACTTCTGAAAGCCAGTGATTCCACCGATGAATTGATCTCACTGTCAGGAAATTTCTCCTTATTTCTAGGTTGGTTCTCTCCTTGATTAAATTTCCTGCCATTGCTTCTTGTCCTGCCTTCAGGTGCTTTTCTTTGTGGCAGCTTGCATGATAACAGCCATACCTGGTGATAGCTTATAGATCAGAGGACATCTGATGTTCCATATAGTCAGAAGGGACAGTAAGACGCAATAAATAAATATAAATAGCAACAGCCATTACGGACTGATTCAAATAGCTCTTTGCTCAAAGCAGAGGAGGCTATGTCAAATGGCACGCAAAAGTAAACATCATTAAGAACCCTTAAACCTTTGGAATAGTCAATTTTAAAAACAAACATACAGCCTACGTTGCTGGTCCATTAAGAGAAGGGAGGAAAATACCTAGAACAGCATGATCTATTAGTCAGGATGGCTAACTAAAAGCTAGAAATTAGCAAAACAGTGTATATTTTTCATTAGACATTTTCACCGTAGGAATTGCTGCTGCATCCCATTCAGCATTTTGAAGACCACTATTATGTATATGTAAATAACGTAGTTGGGTTGACAATATATAAACTACAAATATATATGCTTGTAGCTTTAAGGAAAAATACTGTAATGTATTATGCCGTGTTCTGGTTGGTTAATTATGCTATAAGTTGCCATAAGAGGTAGCTATAGATCATGGTTTAATTCTCTTTCTCTTTTTCACTGATGATTTTTCTTGATACTGATACTGACTGACTACAGACTGACACTGACTAACCCTGTTTATTTTGATATTCTGTTGATATCAAAGGTTATTTGTTGTATTATGGTCTGATATTTGTCTGCTGTAAAAGACATGAAACTGGTAAGAATAATTTATAACTAGATGTAAAAAGACTTTATAACTGGATATTTCTGGACTGTTAAAACGTGTATGACATGGACTGTTTATTGGGCTGTGCTATTTCTTCAAGTAAACATTAATACAACTTGTTTAACTCTGTGTGGCTGTATATTTCTTCATAACTGTTCTTATAAACCGTTTTCCGTGTGCATATCCTTTTTATACAAGGGTTACTCTGCACATATCCTAACAACCACCACTGATAAACTCGGTGTCAACATAAAAGAACTAAATATTAATAAATAAATGTCCAAGATTTGGTCATTCTCGCCTCAACACTCAAAATACATCAAGCCAGAACAACAAATCTTACTAAAATTCAGCAGTTTTCCCATGCTGGCAGGGGAATTCTGGGAGTTGAAGTCCATCAGTCTTAAAGTTGGGTTGGACACACTGTCCTCAAGCTTCAGAGACAAAAGTAACTTAATAACAGTTGTGGTGTCCTTTAAATCAGTGGTCGCCAACCAATGGGCCAGGGATCACTGGTGGTCCACAGAGAAATGTTACCCCAAAGCATCCCCCAAAGCAATTAATCCAGGCTGCGCAGGAACACAAAGCTGCACTGCCCATATGGCCCGCGGGAACACAAGGCTTGTGTTGCTTGCACTGCAAACAACACGAGGTAGTGAGGGGAGGGGGGGAAAGGGTGGAGAGTGGGAACTTGTCCCACTCGCCCCACACACCTTGTTTGACCACCGGGTTGCTTCTTTCCACTTCTTTCTTCTTCTGCTTTTGGCTGCATGCAAGGAAAGCAACAAAGTCTTTCTTTCTCTCCCCCAAACTCCACCAGAAATGAGTCTTTGGGATCCTACAAGGCATCTTGCTCCAAGAGGCTGTGCTGGCATGACAAGTCTGACAAAGACTCATTTCTGGTGGAATTTGGGGGAAGAGAAAGAAAGGCTTCTGCTGCTTCTGCTGCTTTCCTTGCATGAAGCCAAAAGTCTCTCTCTCCCTCTCTCTCTCTCTCCCCTGAGAATGGAGCTGGAGATGGTATCCTGTGGTCCCAAATAAAGAATGATTGATTGGTAGAAAAACGGGGTAGGAAATTTTCCTGCAGACTTTTGGGGGGATTTTCCCAGGGTCTCTGGTCCGCAGGATTTAAAATTATGAGTTTGGTGGTCCCTGAGGTCCAAAAGGTTGGCAACCCCTGCTTTAAATAGCCCATGATTGAGAGGAAATAAACCCCACAGCAAACAAACGTATCTTTGGTGGCGGCAACACTTGTGCCACTTGCCAATTTAAACAAACAAAATAATAATAATAATCACTCAGCCAAAGATAATCTTGGACTATTGGTTCCTTGCCACACACTATCGATCCAGAAGGGAGGGAAAGGTATCATTCCAGAAACAAATTGCTTTGATCCACAGAAAACAGAGGGAGGTGGAAGTTGTTGCTTTTTACGAAATAGGAAACATTAGCAGACGAGATTAGCCTGTAAATAGCATCCTTGAGAGATCTGTGGAATATTGTTAAACTAAAGGTGCCCCTCTGCTCCTGTTTGTACAATCTTTATCCACTCATTCTTTGCTTCAGCATCATGTCTAGTTACAGCTAGTCCTCAATTTACAACTATTAGTTTAGTGACTGTGCAAACAGCACCGAAAAAAAGTGACTTATGACCATTTTTCACACTTGCAAACATTGCAACATCCCCATGATCAAAATTCAGTCCCTTGGAAACTGGGGCAATTTAGAACCATTGCAGTATCCTATAAGATCATGTAATTCACCTTTTGGGATCATCTGACAAGCAAAGTCAACGGGAAAGTCAAGGGTCACTTTACTACTATGTTACTAACTTAAATGCAGCAATTCACTTAACAACAGTGGCAAGAAAGGTCGTAAAGTGGGGCATGTTTTACTTGACAAATGTTTTGCTTAGCAAGGGAAATTTTGGGTGCAATTGTGGTTGTAAGTCAAGGACTTCCTGTATAGACAGCCCTCAATTTATCATTCATTAATGACTATTCAATGTTATAATGGCATTGGAAAAAGCAATTTACAACCAACGGGTCCTTGCACTTATAATAATTCATCAAGTGTGATTGGACACACAAGGAATTTCTCTTTGGTGCATATGCTCTTAATGTACATAAAATATATATTCACCAAGACTCATAAGATACAACACTTAGTGATAGTCATAGGATACTAAATAAGCAATCAAATCCTACTAGGAAACTAAATAAAACAATATAAACTGTAAAGATACAAGCAACAAGGTTATGGTCATAAGTGGGAAGAGACAGGCAATAGGAAGGATGAGAAGAATAATAGTAGTAAAGTCTTAGTAAATAGTTTGACAGTGTTGTGGGAATTATTTGTTTAGCAGAGTGATGGCATTTGGGAAAAAACTGTCCTTGTGTCTAGTTGTTCTGGTGTGCAGTGCCCTATAGCGTCATTTTGAGGGTAGAAGATGAAACAATTTATGTCCGGGATGTGAGGGGTCATCCCCATGATTACATGATCAAAATTTGGGCACTTGGCAATTTGGCATATATTTGTGACCATTGTAGCATCCGAGGTCATGTGATCACCATATGTGACCTTCTCAGTCTATGGTGATGCTCCTGTCAGCTTTGGAAGCTATATTAATTATACTGCCACATTTTAGTCTGGGAAAGTGTGTGTGTGGGGGGGATTTATTGGAGTATATCTAGTAAGATATAACATCATTCTTTTTCTGGTTCAAGGTCAGGTTATTTTGCACATAAGTGAGAGGAAGTTTTAACTTGGAATGGATGGTGATTGGGCCATGTGATTTGATGATGGGTGCAAGAGATGCATTTGTAGTTTTTTACTTATTGTAAGGAAGCCTGGAAGTTTCAGATTCGGGATACCCCAGTTGTGCCAGTTACTATCCAAACAGAAAGGAACCTTTGAGAAGATGTCTGTCTCGGAGTTATTGGGCGGAATGGGGGGTTGCTGGAATGCTGACAGCTACTTTAAAAGGCGCCAATCATTTTTCCACAGAGTTACTATCAAATCCACTTTTTAAAATGGCTGCTGCTTCTATT